AAAAAACTGCGGTCATGATCATCGTTCCAGTTTTTCGTTACTTACAGTACTGTGAGTACACCACTTACAGTATATGCAGAAATCAGTAGTGAATAATCCTACTCTGCTGCACAAGATAACATACTAGTCAAATAAAAACAACACACGTATTGTTAATATAGGTAGTTAAAGATATTGACATGGATTGGTGCAATGCAAACTAGACGCAGCAGCAGACTAAATTCCTAGTTTACTGCGATCGCCATTTTTTCGATTTTTTCCCCCTTTCTGCACCGAAGGGAACATATTCTGAAATGTACAGCAAAATATACATATGGATTGTGTCCCTTAATTGTCCATTAACGATTAAAAATATGAAATTGCTTAATTAATCTGTATGTGCTGATGAAGGCTCAATAGCCGCAACGTTCACGTTTTGTTTGTATTTGTTATATTGTGAAGCTTGCTAATATACTTTTCGTTCGGGTTTATATCTTTTCTAAAAAAATGAAAGCAGTGTTTCCCCGATGTGAATTTGAACAAAGAAGACACGAACAATAGACTGCACAATTTATTGCCTGGCATATTTCGCTGTATCTCGTCAGGTGCACACTAAAGTATATTTCGCTGTATCTCGTCAGGTGCACACTACAGTATATTTCGCTGTATCTCGTCAGGTGCACACTACAGTATATTTCGCTGCGAAATATGCCAGGCAATAAATTGTGCAGTCTATTGTTTGTGTCCTCTTTGTACAGATTAAAAATATCTCCATGTGTGCCCCGGGGCCCCACTGTGGAAGAAACAATAATAGGCTCACTGCCTCGTCAAGAAGGAGTCATAGAAGGCGACTGTTGAATATACTGATGGTTCTGTGATTCGTATATAGACTTTCACGGAAAGAAACCAAAGGAAAAGTTATCAAAAAAGACAGTGGAACCTTTGCTTCTACCACCCAGCAACATGATAATTGAGGTCAAGGCTGTGACAAAGGCCCTAGAATGCATGTTTACTCAGTGACTCAACTAGCATGCTATAGAAGATCACTGTGGGGTATATACAGAAACAGTGGGTCCATCTAATACAGCGTGCAGCGTTTCGCAAATTCACTTTCATTTTTTGTCCCAGTTCATGCTGGTGTGAAAGGCATTCAGAAAGCAAACGCCCTGACTGGCAGTGCGACTATCAGGGATGGACCAACTATGGACAAAAGAGACATCATCAATGCCAATCAAGAGTCCAAGCGCTTTTTTTTTAATACTTTTTTTTTTTTTTGGGACGACGGATCAACATCATGGCACAAGGGTAGTCACTCATAAATGCTCCGTTTTATTACTGACTCAAGCCTGAGTCCAAATAATCTCATCGTAGTGCCCGAACTCCGTAGCACCGGCGAGGATCCTGAAATACTTTGGTTAAATTTTTTAAACTCGAAATTTTGCCCGGGTGTCGCCTTTATACTGCTCTTTTTCGATTTCCAACTGCTAAGGGATATTTATACGTGCGTACTAATACACATGGGAGTTCGATCTTACTACCCAGACCCTAGGGGAAATTACTAGAAGTCCACGTGAAATAATCTCAGCTTTCACCGGGGCTTGAAACCAGGAACTCCAGAACTCGAGGAGGACACTGTGCGTCGAGACCACGCAACCCTTACCTCAACCAGAACAGAATGGGAGATATTAGCCTAAAAAAAAAACACACTTGGAGACATACTCAGGAGAAGATCGGGGCACTTATGGTCATGTCCGATGAAGATGATCTTTAAAATAAACAGTCTGGTCTTAATTTCAAGACCAGATACTGTCAGGGTTCCGGGGCCCCATCGTGGGGAAAACAAGAATAGACCCTCTGCCTACCCAAAAGCAAGTCGTAAGAGTCGACTAATTGGGGAGCTTCCTTTGAAGACGGAGTGCATCTGCCTGAGAGGCAAGGAACCAACAGTCTGGTTCAAGTGAATCAGATCTGTAAAACTGATGCACACGCAACACTCAGGTTCTGGAGCAGGACTGCAGTTCAGAAGTGGACGAACAACCAGAACTTTCCGCCAGAGTGTACAGCTGGTGAACGCGAAGAAGAAGAAGAAGAAGATATCAAGACGTGCAATACTGTTCTGACGTGTATTCCTAATCAAACCTTTTTCGAAATAATTTCATAGACCAAAAGAAAGTATTTGATTGAGTCAGCAGATGCAAACTAAGGACAATTCTAGAAGATTATGGTATTCAAGATCAACTGTTAAGTAACATGACTTTATCAAAATAGTCAGTGCACAGTAAGAACAACAGAAGGAATGACAGACTAGTTTTCCATCTCATCGGGTACAGACAGGGATTTGTCCTTTTACCATTGCTTACCTGGAAAAAATTACAAAGGAGGCAAATACAAGCACTGACGAAATCAATGAACTTCTTTTTGTAGACGATCACTGTCTAATACGCCAACAAGAACAGAATTTACAACACCCTATTGACTTCTTTTTTAGAATGCTTAGAATACCTTGGACTGCCAAAAAGAGCAACCAAGAGGTTTTGAAAGAGGCGGGAGCATGAAGACAACTTATCACAGACATCAGAAGGAGACATTCATCATTTGTCGGCCATGTTATGAGAAGAGGGAAAATAGAACATGTTGTGACCACTGGAAAGATCTATGGAAAAAGGGATAGAGGAAGACAACGAGAGAAGATGCTTGACAGTCTTGTTGCATGGCATGGAGGTGTGTCGACACCCGAACTGTTACATGCTGCAGGAGATCCCAGATTATTGAGAGTCATGATCGCCCACGCCAGTCGGCAAGGCACCTGATGATGATGATGATTGACTTCTTACATAAAACCTGCACAAAATATGATATGAGAATAAACACAGTGAAACCTGTGGTACTGAGGATAAGCAGAAAACATAATATTATGAACGTAAATGTTAACGGTACTACAATCAAACAAGCGCGAGAATTCAAATATCTAGGAAGCATATTTACGATAGAAGGCAGACTCGACAGAGAGACAGAATCCAGAGTACAGAAGGCAAATGCTGTCGCCCTACCAGTTCGCCTATCTGCCCAGAACCCAAATGTCTCCCTTCCAGTAAAAGAGCAAATGATGAGTAGCATCTTTATCCTTACTTCATGTTATCAGTGCCAAACGTGGACACCGAATAGGGCACTAGTGCATAAAATAACTTCATGTGAAATGCACTGTCTCTGTAAGGTCACGAACAAAACAAGAAAAGAAGGGTAACGAATACCAGCATTAGACAGAAAGCTGTTATAAGACCATGTCTGGATTGTACTGACAGACAAAGAATGAAATGGTTCGGCCATCCAGTGAGAATGCAGCCATACCAAACTGCATATAAGACTTTTTACAACAGAACATATGAGAGGAAGGGAGAGGAAGGGAGAGGAAGACCAAGAAAGATATGGATAACTGGTGTAGTCGAAACCAGCAAAAAAGATTAACAATTCCATTACCCAAATCACACGAGAAGTGCTAGACAAATACAGAAAAAACCACGACACTGGGATACAATCTGGCATAAATAAACCGACACAAGAAAAAGATCGAGATCATTACATATATATATATATATATATATATATATATATATATATATATATATATATATATATATATATATATATATATATATCACCATGTGCCCTGTCAACTGGCGTAGGCGCTCATGCATCTCCACAGATTACAATCCCTGGTTGACTGGAACAGTTTTCTTGATGATATCCCTCCATGCCATCGTTTTAGCCCATCCAGCATCATCTCTCTTGGTCTGCCTCTGCGCATTTTTTTACCACTGATCTTTCTTGTTGTCACGATGTTTTCCAAGGTATTTGTAATCATTATGTGGCCAAAGAACAGTGTCTCTTTCTTATTGTTGTATATAGAGATCTACTTTCATTAGCATGCATGTAATGTATGTATGTATATTATGTATGTATGTATGTATGTATGTATGTATGTATGTACATGTATGTCAGTATGTATGTATGTATGTTGTATGTATGTATGTCTGTATGTATGTATGTATGTATGTATGTATGTATGTATTCATACTGCTTTTGTATGTATGTATGTATCTTATATGTATGTGTGTTGTATGTATGTATGTATGTATGAATGTATGTATGTATGTATGTATGTGTGTATGTACGAAATGTATGTATGTCAATGTATGTAGTCTTTATGTATGTAACGTAATGTAAATACAGTATGTCATATGTATGTATGTATGTATGTACCTAGTGTGTATGTATGTAATGTACAGTATGTATGTATGTATTTATGTATGTATGTCCCCCATGTCTGTATGTATGTATGTTCTGTATGTAATTATGTATGGCCCAGTTGTATGTATGTATGTCTTCATTTGTGTAATAGCATGTGATGTTCTTCCTGTTGTATGTACGTATGTATGTATGTATGTATGTATGTATGTATGTATATATGTATGTATATATGTATGTATGTATATATGTATGTATGTATGTATGTATATAAAAGTGTGTGTTTCTGTGCAGAGGTCGGGCAGTGTCAGGAAATTTTCAACACATCGTACCAGCTGATTTTCCTACACCACTGCCCCCGTGGACCTCTAATCAAGAACGACGTAGGTCAAAATCATAGCCTGGGACAAATTATGGTGTGTTCTTGTTTGCACACAATCAGAAAGACTAAGGGTCAGGCTAAGGTTAAGGCTTAAGCGGCATAAAACATATTGCCTAGATATCCATTCTAGAGCTTGCCAAATATTCTTAAAACGGCTCGATAATTTTCTAAAATAGCTAACATAAATTTAGCTATGTATATATTTAAACATAATAAAAACATATACAAATGTTTTTTCATATTATAAAATTTCAGAACAGCTGTGTGTAAGCCGGGCCCGTCTGTGACCGTGCAACTTCCGCTAGACTTGGAGAGCTTTGACCTTCTGGCTATAATCTTGTCTAGTCCACATTAAAACTTGTTCATTTACTGTTGATCAATAGGTTGATAAAGAATGGCTGAATCTGTTTTTAAAAACGTCGAAAGTGCCGCTCCAATTGAAGTTTTTCAACTGACTAAGTTGTTTACTGATTGCCAGAGTCCCAACAAAGTAAATCTCGGTGTTGGAGGTAATGTTTCATTTTTTGAAAACTGAGTGAGTGAATAAGAAGCTTAAAAACAGACTTCTTTAAATACACTATTAATGTTAGTTAATTATCCAAGCCTATATACATGTATATTTCATTTTAAAAAGTGCTATATTCGTTACGAGTTTCTACGTAAGTTATAAGCAGAGCTATTTATGTTTTCTTCCGCCTTCTCCACTTTCTTCAACGTATGCCCTATCTTTTTTTCATCTCCACTCCTCCCCCTTCTTATTCGTCTTTGGGTATCTCCAGATTAGAACAAAAGTACAGACAGTGATATCTTTTGTGGGCTATTCTCCGAATAACGGCCCCATATTATAGCAGCAAAAAAAAAAATTACCATGACAAGGTCTCAATCACATATCAATTGCGGACTTCTTTCCACCACCACCGAGATTATCCCCCGCTACGTGCTGCGCGCGGGGAGAGGGGGGGGGGGCGTTAAATTAGATGGCTGGGACTCAGAGCAAATAAAATGAGGAAGCTGCAGTAGCTGCTGCTCGTGAGTCCCAGCCATCTAGTTTATCCCCACTACGCACGGTGCAGGGGATACTCCCGGCGGAAGCTTCTCCTCGTTATGCGGTATAGTCACTGGAAAGAGGTCTGCAGTTTTCAAATGAGTGAGGCCCTGTCAGGTTCTTTTTTTTTTGGTGGCCATAATATGGGGCGTTATTCTGAGGATAGCCCTTTTTGTCATCTGTATAATCTCTAAACATGTTTTCCCCAGTATTCATACCTGTCTCTAATTCTTTTCTCATGAAGTTTTAATTTTAGTTTATGACTCTCTTCTTTGTGTAGGTAGCTTATTTGCCCAGGGGAAAAAAATTTGTCATGTTTAACCAGCATTCCCAAAGGGGGAGCTTTATGTTATAATTGTGACTAGGTTATATGTGGCATTTAAAATGCCTTAGCATTTCCCTGACAAGAACTCCTGCAGTGTTGATGCTATCAAAGGAGACAGACCCAGCTGGTGACAAAGTAATCTACCGGCAAGCCAATGGGTGACCAGTTGCCGATGTGTGTTCTGCGGGTTACAGAGAAAGAATTTATAGTTATACTGTTAACATATTTTCTCAGTGTGTTCCCTATTTTTGGTAATATTCACTCCACCAGCCTTCCTCAACATCTTTGGCTGTTACAGGTGATCACGATCTTGAAAGACTTTTAGGCATAGTATACTGCGAGCTGGGTACTATCTTAACAGTTGCAAGTGATACAAACAGGTCTTTAGTAATGTATTTGACACTGTGAGGAGTGACAGACAAAAGAAAAGTGGATCCTGCATGGTTCAGGCTGACATTAAATAGATCAGCTGAGGGGAAAATGTGGATAAAAGTACTGGAGGGCAGAGAAGAGCTGCACAAGGTGTTAATTACCTTAGGATGGGAATGCAGGATGTCAGAGGTGCAGATGCAGAGGTTTTATTGCTGATAGAGCCTTCCTAACTAATGAAAAGTAATCAGTGCTGTTTTTTTTTTTTTTAAAATAATTGTAAACATTTTCACATCAGATAATACTTGCTTGTCAGTCTGAGATCATATGTTCAAATCCTCTTACATGTCCACATGTCTGATTGTGGGTTTTTATATATTTTAAGCTTGGTGGCATGATATATATGTTGTATGTGCACACGCTTATGGTTTTTTCTATTTTTTTTTTTTTAAATAGAAAACACAAATCATCCTTTGAGCAAGGAATTGACTTGAATTGCTTTGCGAAAAATAAAATATCACGTTTAACTAGCATTCCCCGAAGGTGGGCTTTTGGTTATATTTGTGACTAGGTTTATGTGCGCATATATAAAATAGCATAGCGTTGCTCGCCACCAAATAGCCCTGAAAAGGACTCTTGCAGTGTTGGTGCGATCAAGATAGACAGACCCAAATAGTGTCCCGACCGACGACTAAGCTGTCCACCGGCCAGCCAATGGGCAACCCGGTTGCCACTGAAAGAAGAGATTTTTATCAGTGACGTGTTTCCAAGTCCAACAGGCCTCAGAAGGGTACCAGACATTTTTCCATAGACAAAGATACTGGATATTGACCACAGCACCCATTGCATGCCCGTATGATATACAATACTGGAACTTTTTGTTTTTTGGGCATAATTTTGATCAGTGCTACTGTAATAGACACTTTTAGGTGGGTGGCAGTACTTTGTTTTAGGCACTTTGTGATGAGTACTGGCACCTTTTTTCATATTAGGAAAAGCCCTGAGTAGCACCATATACCTGACTTTAGTTTACTAGAGGACAAATGACATTGGGGAGAGGTGATTTATTCTCTCTGCCCAAGGTTCATAGTCTTCACTGTTGTAAAACCTGATGAGGATCACAAACTGTGCAGACTAAGAGTCACAAATCACAATAATAATGGTAAATATTTAGCACCTAAACTTTGCGCTCACACTTGGCGACCTCACATGCATGATAGACACCAGGATGAAATTAAATCAGATTGCAACAAACAAGCAGATGCCATCTCCACAATAAACTTCAATAAAGCAGATGCCGTCTCTACAACAGACATCTGTCAAACAGATGCCATCTCTAAAGTATTCATCAATCAGATACATGCCATCCCTACAATATACATCAATCAAACAAATGCCATCTTTACATAAATTTCAATCAGGCAGATGCCATCTCTATAATCAATAAACATCAGTAAAACAGATGCCACCTCTACAATACACATCAATCAAACAGATGCCATCTCTACCAAAGATCTCGCTATTCCATCTCCTGACTTGTATCACTGTCTGTCTCTCAAATTGCATCATTCACTCTGAATAAGTAAAGTATTTGACCAGTTTTTACTGATGACTACATGTTTCCTTCAGCCTACCGAGATGAAGATGGAAAACCCTGGGTGCTGCCTGTTGTCCGTGCTGCAGAACTGCAGATGGCAAATGATAAAACCCTCAACCATGAATATTTGCCTGTAGCTGGGTTGCCTGATTTTAGAGTTGCGGCAAATCGACTGATGCTGGGTCCAGATCATAAAGCAATTGTGGAAAATAGGGTATATCTTTTTCAATAGATCTTGCACCTGTCTGTGATTTTTTTCTTTTGTAATGAAAAGTCCCAGAGTGAGTTCTGGGATCCCACTGTGGGGAGGAAAAAAGATAGAGACACTGCCTTCCTGACAAACGTTGTATGTGTCGACTCATTAGGATTTTCTTTTTCAAATTGGAATGCATCTGTCCTGAGAGGTGAGGAACCAACAATCTGCATACGAATAAGCCAGATGTGTTAAAACGGATATGCTTGCAAAACTCAGGTTCCAAAACAAGACTGAAATTGAGAAGTGGACAAACAATCAGAATTTCCACCGGAGTTTACAGCCAGTGAATGCGAAGAAGAAGATATTGAATTGTGTTTTGACTTTTACCTGTTCTGATTGTTAACATTTGACTTCTATCTCTGCGGAAAAACTTTCAAATTGCATCTCAGCTTCCAGGTCGACTGAGCCTAAAGGAAGTATCAAATGTCTGATGTGGCACTGGTTAAAAAAAGGGTCCGTAACTCTGTGAAAGTTGTTTTAAAACTTCAAGTGGCCTACATGGAACAATTTTGTCAGTGGCTTTATTGTAATGGAGGAAAATGTAAATTAGTAGAATAGACAAGATTTTCTTGTTCACGTTCACCGGCTGTAAACTCCGGCAGAAAGTTCTCGTTGTTTATCCACCTCTGGACTTTAGACTTGTTCCAGAAGCCTGAGTGTTGCATGCACATCCATTTTACAGATCTGACTTATTTGTATGCAGACTGTTGGTTCCTTGCCTCTCAGACAGTTGCACTCTGATTTAGAAGGAAACCCCCAATTAGACTCTTACGACATTCTTGTTAGCAAGGCAGGAACCCACACTGGAAGAATAGATAAATCAAATATTTTTATTGACAGTGTATATTAATTTGATAGGTAAAGTATACACAACTATCTGTCACATTTAAAGCTTATATATCAGTGTAATGTGTCAGTTTTAGCGATTACTGCTAGAGGTATCAGAAAACTCCCATTTACATAAGTAATGGGTAGGAGGCTGGCATTGCTTAGACAAGAAAACCCTGACACAACGTAGCACATGACATTAAGTATGATAATGAGATAGGTTCAGATTTTATGTATGTAATCTAATTTTATTTTTTTCTAGTTAATACATAATCTTATATTGCTTTTTTTTTTTTAAACTGACTGAAGAAGAACTGTAGTTAGATGTTAATCATCAGTATGTTATCTTTTTGAAGCTGATTCAATTCCTCTGTTACTTTCCCCCTCTTTAGTAGCCAGTGAAGAATTTATGAAATTCCTATTTCGACCTGTTTCTACATTTGACAGATTTAGGTAACGTCTTTTTGATGCTCCAAGTATGTCCATACAATGATATCTACTAGTTTTAACATTGTATTTTCACAGCTTTACTGCGGTTCAGCTTGTTTCAGTAGAACATAGATGATTCTTTCAAACATCATCATTAATTGATTGCCGAAAGCATTAGTGGTCTGCTGAAGTAAAAAAGTACCATTAGATAAGGAACAGCTGTTGTTTACATACTTGAACAGTTTGATTATTATCGTAAACTGTATAATTTTTGAAAACAGAGATAACAGTGATGGTATTCTTATCAATATTTGTGAACATTCCAGGTAGAAGGATTTCAAGCACTTGGAGGAACTGGAGCTTTAAGACTGGCTGCTGCATTTTTGAAAAATGTTCTAAATTTTGACATTGCATATGTGTCAGCTCCAACATGGGGTGGGTATTTTTGTTGTTAGGGTACACAATCACATAATGAAACATATATACATTTTTCCTCTAGGTCATCACACACACAAAAAGATAGCATAACCTCAGAATTAGTTGCTTATCCTTTACAAGAAGTTGTCAACTTTCTTCTTCTCATTGTTCACTCTCATGAAAAATTATGTTTTTCATCCAGTCCTGGACTTTGATCTTATTCTAGAATCTGAGTTTTGCATGCAAAACCGTTTTTAAGATCTTGCTTGTTTGTGTGCAGATTGTTGGTTCCCAGCCTCTCAGATAGATTTACTCTGATTTCGACTTTGAAAGGAACACCGCTGATTAGTTGCCTTGTACAACGTGTCTTCCCTCCCCCTAGAAAAAGGACCCCGGAACCCAATAAGGGAAGTTGCAAACCAGTCCCTGCATTCGTTGTCTGTAGTTTTACAAGGTGATTTTACATTCCAAAGTTTGCCATTGCTTCCTGAATGGTCAGGTCTGAGTATTATCATACAGCTGAATCAAATCCAGTATGTCAGAATTATGACCCCTATGTGGGTTCAGTGCCTCATTGTGGGGGGGGGGGGGGAACAAATAATAGACCCACTGCCTTCTAACAAGTATATCCTGAAAGATGGCTACAATTAGGGGTGTTTCTTCAAATCCGGAGTGCATCTTCCTGAGAGGCAAGGAGCCAGTAGTCTGCATACAAACAAACCAGATCTGTAAAACAGATCTGCACACAGAAAAATTGTTCTATGGAACAAAGCAAAATCTCAGAAGTGGAACAGCACCCAGAACTCTCCACTCAAGTTCACAGCTGGTGAATGCAAATACACAAAATAATAAGAAATCAGCATTCATATAACCTTAAAGCTACAGATGCTGTGCTAATTAATTAATAAATCCAGTTGCTTATAATTAATAAGTTTTGTGTAGTGTGTATTGATGAAAAGTGGTTAGTAAATAGTTTCTGTAGTTTTCTTTTGAATTTCAGAGAATCATAAGGGAGTTTTCAAATCAGCTGGCTTCTCTGAAATCAGGGAATACAGATACTGGAATAGTGAAACCCGAGATCTTAACTTCACTGGCATGTTAGAAGATCTTTCGGTTTGTACATTTTCTTCAGATTTGTTTTTCTTTTCACAAATACAGGTAGTTTGAATTCTCATTATGTCAGATTTTTGAAAAAAAAAAAATGACCTTGGCTTCCAAGTTGACCCAGCCTAAAATAGGTACCAGGTAAAATCCTGGGAAGTAAAGGTGGCCGGCATAATTTTGACCTCACTGCCTATGAAGTGCTGGTTGGTCTAGAAAAATATAAGTCTAGCATCATTTGCTGGATGCTGCACTGATAAACTTGTTTTTTTTTTTTTTTGTAATTACAGGCAGTCTGTGGTAGTGCATTGGTTAATGTGTTTGCAAGCTCTTATGGCAGTCATGTGTTTAGATATCAGTTCAAGCAACGATTTTCAGCCAAAATTGACCATTGTTCTCCATGTGTAGATTTCAGGGCCCCATTGTGGGTGGACAAAGGAATAGATCTATTGCCCCCTAACAAGCGTGTCATAAAAGTTGGCTTAATAATGGGGATTTATTTGAGAGACAGGAAACCAACAGTCTGCACACAGATAAGCCAGATCTGTAAAATGTATATGAAAAAAAAATGAAAACAAACTACTGAAGTTCTGAAATAAGACTAAAGTCCAGAAGTGGACAAACAACCAGAACTTTCTGCCAGAGTTTACAGCCGGTGAACGTTAAGAAGAAACAATTTGTACCATGGTTCACAGGTAGACCCAGCCTAAAATGTGTCACAGCAAATATTCTGGCAACTGGCTTGATATTGTCATCACCCATTGAGCAAGTAAAAATGAAAGAACCTTTTTGACACCTTCAGACATATTGGGTGTATAGGGCTAGACCTATATTTTATAGACCAAACGGCACTTTATGGGTGATGTGGTCAGTGTCACACCAGCCGCCTTTACTTCCCATGACTACCTGGTACCCACTCAGGACTGGGTGGACCTGGTAGCCAAGGTCATTTGTGAAAAAGTGCCCAGCCGATTGAGTGCTAATGGGTTTGTTAAAATATAAGGCTGGCACCATCTGTCCAAAATACTTAGAGGCGTGGGAAAAAAATGTCCTCTACTGTCATTAAATATTTGTTTTCAATACTTTGCCCACAGTCTGAGTACTGAAGAGCAAAGATAGTGTTGAACCTATTGTCATTTATCAGGATTCTTATTACACGGACATTTGAACTGAAATTGTCATTTAGTCAAAACCATGCTCTGTGGGCTTTAGATTCCATTTTTCAGAGCAGTATATCATTATTCCTTTGGTGCATGTTATTTACCTGTGTTTTGGTATTAAACTTAAACGCCACAGGCTGTTTGACTTTATGACTTCCCTGCCAGTTCTGTTTAGACCGATGATAGCAGTTTACCATAGTGTCTTCTTCTTCCTCATCAAAATATTAAGGGGAGATGTAACAATTTTCTGTGTGTTGTTTCTGCTGCATTACGAAAGAGCAGTGTACATTAGTTTACCTTCATTGTGCTTCATTCTGTGTTTAATTTTAACAGAACAAAAAAAAAACATACAAGTGTGTTTTATATTATAAAATTACTGAAAAGCTGTGTATAAGCCGGGCCTTTGACTGTCTACTTCTGTCTGCTTGTAGACATTGCTAAATTTGAAATATGACATCAATGCTCGGGAACCAGATCACTAAAACATCCTTACCCGCACAAGACTGCAGATTACACCAGCTGGTGTAGCAGTTATAGGTGCCCCAATTATAACTTCTTTGCAGATTGAATAGGGTATCTGGGATTTGCCCTGTTGGTCTGCCATCGCAGCTGAAATTTTGTAATCTTAGGGTGTCAGAATGGAAGGAAGAAACCATATATCTCTGCATACATGAAGCATTACCAAAAGCAGTATTATGTGTACGTCACATTCCACATTGCTGAAGAAAAACCAACAGAAACCTTACAAAAAAAGGTGACTGTAGTGTCATTACCATGGTGTGTGATGACATTTGACAGGAATCGTGCATGACATTTTGTAAAATTATCAAAGAGCTTGCTGTTGTCGATGAAGTGCATTGTATCCTTTTATGTACACAACCATGGCCTTAACTTCTCTGAGCCAGTAAATATTGATATCAGAGCAAAGTCAGCACTAATTTACTTTTCATGACGTGATGCAGCCAATGACCTGGTGTTCTAACACTTTCTTATGGCTTGAATAGTTAAATTAGGATGTTGTTGATTGTATTTATAATTTATATTTTTTTTTAAATGTTAGATGGATATAAATGTAGCAGAAAGAAATTACTATGAAACCAGTAATTAATGTTTGGTATTTTCAGAATGCCCCACCAAATGCAGTGATCATTCTCCATGCTGTAGCTCATAATCCAACTGGTGTTGATCTAAACCAGGAACAGTGGAAGCAGATTTGTTCTCTTTGCAAGGTCTGTTGTAGTTTCTCATAATGTGTACCTTAGTATATTTATTGTTCATATGTGTTGGGCTGAAAGATGCATATGTTGCTACCTAGCTGAAAACCACAACACATGGTGCCGACCACTTGTTTAAGGGTGAAGAAAAAGAATTATACTCTTTTTTTTTAAAACTGGTAAAATAATCATCATTATACCCCTAGATGTGAATGTCACATGTTTTGTCATCATTCACGTCACTTTTCGCTGGCTGCTGAAGATGGGGACGGAGCGCTTATGGGAATGCCCCGAGTGCTGTGATGTCGGTTCTTGAATCAAATCAAATACGTCACTTTTGACATCCTTAGCAATACTACTGCCATCTTATATGACTTTATGCAAAATGGAAGACTGAATAGAGAAATCAACAAATGATGTGCTAAAGCAAATCAGGTTATGAACAATTAACACTGCTTCTGAAGCATAGAAAGACACTTCTGTCAACCAAAGCAAATCTATAAGAAAGTTTTTTTTGGCCGACATTGTGCTACCAGTGCCAAACATGGACCCTTACTACAACTAATGAGCGGAAGATCGTAACAACAGAGATGATTTCACCTAAAAAGAATGCCGTGGTACCTACTGCCACAGAGAGCCGCGCTGAAGAAATATAATGAACACAAAGCAAGGGAAAGACCATGCAAGATATGGAGCGACACCATCATGAGCAACCTAACAGAAATGAACACCATCTTGTACAATGCATTGGAAAAAGTGCACGAATGATCCTTACATCTACTCCCAACACAACGCTGAGGTAAATGGTGGAAAAGAAGAAGATGATGCATCATGTTTTAAATTCCTATCATAAACATTAGGTTTTAATTTGAAGTTCCTTCATATTTTGGTAAATATAACAGCCCACTAAGATACAGTAAGAAATTCTTGAATATTGCTCTATTAACTTTAAGTTTTAAAAAAATGGCAGTGTTAATATTTCGCTTACATTATTACTTTTTTAGGAGAAGAAACTGTTTGTGTTGTTGGACTGTGCCTATCAAGGCTTTGCTAGCGGCAGCCTGGATGCTGATGGTTGGGCCTCTCGCTACTTTGCTGAACAGGACATTGACCTCTTTATTGCCCAGTCATTTTCCAAGAATTTTGGTTTATACAGTAAGAACATTACTATGTAGCAGTTTAAAAATGAATTCTGTGAAGTTCTTCAAACAGAGAAGTCAAAGCCTTTCTTGAATTCATAGCTTGAAACTTTGTGTTATGGTGGTTAGAAACTGAAAGACTTACTTATACTGATTTCCTGATTCCATATTTTTCCTACTGAATACTTGATTTTGTCTTTGTCATAATTTGTACTTGCTGGTGTGTTACTGGGGCCTGTAAAGAATAGGACCTTTGTAACAGACTATCTCTACCTTGTCAGAAAACTCCAACCACCCTTGAACAAGGGTACAGTTGGCTTAGATTTGAAATGGTCTATGCTTCACTGAGAGGTAAAAAGCAGAAGAAAGATATTTTTTGCTGGTGTCACCAGGTATTTCATTGACCAACTAGCACTTGATGGGTGATGGACAAGATCACATTGGCTGCCTTTACTTCTTTCAAATTTCCCGATACCCATTTTAAGCTGGGTAGACCTGGAAGCTCAAGTAAATTTTTTTAAACATGTTAGTACAGAATCGAACCTAAGACTTTCAGACCGCGGACAAAAATCTAGCCTACACTCCACAGCTACAATATATGGGGATAAATCTGAAGAATTTAGTCAGTTATATTTTTCCTTATCATGGACACAATTGGAGAGAGTTCCAGTTGTCTTCTGTTTTATTTTTCCTGGCTGTTAACAACAGGGAGAGCCAGGAAATGTGTAGTTATATGTAGCTAAAGATTGCATAATATAAAAGTATAATAAGTAATAAACCGTTGTTTTATCACATGTTTTTTTATATATAATACTCTTTTAAAAGCCATACTGGGTGGATAAGTTGAAGGTAAGATAACAAAAGGGAGTCGGTGATACTAGTGGGAGGACAACATCAAGGGATGAGCTGCAGTCTGAGAGTGTAAAACCAAGTCAAGAAGCGAAGTGTGCTGTAGATCTGTTGCAGCCAACCTTCAATGTAAAGATGACACCTGAAGGGTTTATTTATATATGGTACTTGCTCATCAGGAAGTCGCCGTAGAGCAGTGCTCGCTCATTGAAGGAAGGTGGTGGGTATCACCCTAGGGGAGCTGGACTTTTTTCAAAAATGACCTTGGCTCCCAGGTCGACCCAGCCTTGAGTGGGTTCCGGGTGTGGCCCGGGAAATAAAGGGGGCCGGCGTGATGCTGACCACATCACCCATCTTGTGCCGATTGGTCTATAAAAATTTAAGTCTAGCCCTATATGCCTAAAGGCGTGGAAAAGGGTCTTTTACTTTACTTATTTGCTCATCATTTCCTGTAGACCAGTGCACTCAATGAAGTGGTCAGTATCACACACTGACAATCTTTACCTGCCAAAACATTGTCATAATTCCAGTGCCTTAAATCTTTCAGTCCAAGGAACATTACCCAGATAAGTAAAAGCCACCATTGTAAGTTACTTTCATACTGGGTGCAGGAATTGGAAGAATTGACTGTAGAAACCAGATTTCATTCATATGCTATTGACAGTATGTACAAAATATAAAAAAAATATTAAAGTAATGGATGGAAGCATTTTATTGATACAGAGGAAAAGACTAAACACACATCTTGCATTCTTTGGGTCTGAAAGAGTTAATAAAGTAAAGTGAGGCCAGTTGCTTACATTATTATGAATCTTCTTTTACAGATGAGAGAATAGGCAACTTGATTGTTGTTACAAGAGATCCAAAGAAGCTTCCTGAAATCCGCAGTCAACTGGAGATTCAGATTCGTGTCATGTGGTCAAATCCACCCAACCACGGAGGTCGCATTGTCACTACAGTACTCAACAACAATGCTTACTTTGAAGACTGGTAATAGTTTTTTTACACAGTAATACATTTGAAAATATTAAATCACTCCAGTAGTTTTTTTTTTAACCCACAGTAATACGCATGAAATATTGTTATCAGTCTAGTAGCTTTTTTACAGTAATACACATTAAATATTGTATCTCTCTATCTGTGTCTGTTTAAAAAAAAAAATTATATTGTTCCAATCTAAACCTACAGAAAACAGAAATGCATGTCAGTCAAAAATAAAAATCAGTTATGTGAAACTGGAAACATCACTGACTTTGAATATTTGAATACTTTAACGCCATAATTATTGATAATGTAGAATGTTAACAAGAAGGCTGGTTACGGAAATTTAGAGCTTAAACAGCATGAAGAGCCGATAGCACAACACCAGCAAATAAATCAAGTAAAATATCCAAACAGTTGTATTTTCAAAATACTTACATTTTGCTTTCACAGGAAAAGTCAGATTGAGACCATGGCTAAACGCATTATAAAAATGCGCCATGAGCTTGTAGATAACTTGAAAAAGCTCGGTACTCCTGGCAACTGGGATCACATTATCAAGCAGATTGGAATGTTCAGTTACACTGGACTGAATGGTATGACTATAGTTAACTGTCTTCCAGTATTTATATTGTCTGATGTTTTTGGTGATTTATGTTTGATTTCTGTAATTTTCTCTTCCTTATTAGAAGTAATAATCATTTAAGCCTTGTACTGTTTCAGTTTGCCCAGGGAATCAGTTGCAATTTATATTGTTTTTGGGGAGTACAAAAGACAAATGATGAGAATTTAAACTACTGTATTTTTATCGCATGCATGCTGAGAAATGTCATGATAAACTAGAGATTATGCTACACAGTTATAGCTACTGTTAACTTATAATATGTGGAAGATTATGTGGGTTGTGAAAGCCGAATCATTATCCCAGCATATCTATTTTCAAAGTTAGCCATGTGAGATCTGGCAGCAGACAGCTTTGTATTTACTTTGGCAATGATATGAGTGTCATAATGTTCAGAAAGCAATGACAAGCTACTAAATGTAAAATTACCTAGTAAGCCCACAGCAGCCGATAAATGCCTAGGTTAGATTGTGATGTCGTAAAAATGACATGCAACTAAGTGGATGGGGGAAGTGGGGAAGAGAGAAGGATCTTTTATTGCATACAAAACTAGCTGAGAAAGCAAGACATCTTGGCTCCCAAACTGTTGTGTGCTATCTGAGTTATACACTAATCAGCACACTTCCAAGTGTCTATAGGTAAAACTTTTCGCTCCCACACTCTCGCAGCAGGACTCGATGACAGTAGTTTCGTCATACAATAGATTTATTCGACAAAACACAAGAGGGCAAGTTACAGGCCCTCACACCGACACAACTGCAGACGTAGACATTGATCCTAACTGACATTCGACATAGTCCTCACTCTCTATCAACTTGTAGCGTCCTCTCCCCTGATCACTACAGCTCCAAAGGTCTACAGCTTCCCACAACTCTGGGGTCGCTGTACAGAAGAACAGGAAAGCTCTCCTATCAATTGGACCTTAATATTACTTCAGCAGACAACAACAGCTGACTGGAGACGGGACTTCACTTGCTCGTTCTCCAGCATGTGCCCACAGCACATCAGCCTGTCGAAGGACTTGAAGACAGACTGGACTTCCAACACAAGTCCCCTCTAGCAGACAGCTCTTGTCGGCATTCCTACTGTTCTGTTTCCATGGTGATCCTACGTCTCCTTGTGCCGTCACCCACAACAGTCACTATTGGAGCATCCAGCCAACTTGGCCTTACTTTGCCAGAGGGACTATACCTTCGACCCATACCGTAACCACAAGCCTTACTCAGACCTTGCTGCCTGATATTTGCACGGTACTCTGTTTCTTCACTCGAGAGATACTGACTCTGACCCTGACTGGGTCTCTCTCTCTCTCAGGCTCTGACTTGGTCTCTCTCCGACTGACTCCCCCTCTGACGTATAGCACTCTCATGCTGGGGCTGGGTGTGTACTACACCCGCACTTCCTCAGTGCTTTAACTCTCTGGCTGCAGCTCACTGACCCGATATATTCCTGCTGAACCCATGTGGGCAGCTGATGTTACACGAGAGGCACGCTCGTGTGGGCGTTCTCGGGAATCATGCTCTTGTGGGCGTTCTCGAGACTCGCACTAATGTGGGCATTCACGAGACTCACTTTCATATGGGCATTCTCGAGAATAACGCTTATGTGGGTGGCTGATGTTACATGAGAATCATGCTGTCACGTAATTCATACTTTCTCTGTGCGTCTTGTTAGCCATGCTTGTCGAGAATGAACCGCTTATGTGGGTACACTTCTCATGGTCAACATGAGAATCCCGCTGTCCACGTTGACATTCATACTTTTTCTTACTATCATACCACTCTGTCCCTTCACACACTATTACACTCTCCCAAATCAGCACGCAGCAGCTACCCCGTGATTGAGGGTATCAACTTTTACTTATTACATTGAAACCCACATAGGTACTGTAAATCAGATCAGGTCTGCTAGTGTTAACGATATATTGTCACCTGCATGTTATTCTGTCTCCTTGTTTTGTTGAAGCTTTTATTAAGAGAAAATATCAGTTGAATAGCTTTAAAATTGTTTCTTTCAGAATATATTATTTGATGTAACATGCATGACTAAAGTGCATCGTCTGTGCCAAGTTGCATATTTGTTGTTATTACCACTGTCACGCATAATTAATTGTAGAATATATAATTTTAAAACTCTGACATGTTTTTTTTTTTTTTTTAAATTCAGCAAAACAAGTGGAGTACATGAAGAGCAAGAATGTATTTTTACTGAATAGTGGGCGCATCAGCATGGCAGGATTGAATTCTAAGAATGTAGCTTATGTTGCTAAAACAATAGATGAGGCAGTCAGGACACATTCAGATTAATTGCTGGGGTTTTGGTATCTAGGTTTATTAAAACTGATCCCTCTTTCTCAACTCACTGGGCTTCCTTTCACTGGTTGTCCAGTCAGAGTTCACTGTGTAGCAATATAGATTGTGTATTGTATAGAGTGTGCTTTCATGGTTTTCTTAGGCCTAGACAATATATTTGGAGAAGTATGAGACTGAAAGCATTTGTTAATGCTGGCATCCTTTTGTACTCAGAAACAGAAACTGATTTCCTAATTCTGTTTTCAGTTTAATAGTTTTTTTCATTGTATGTATCCTGCATCAGTTGATGTCATTTTGAAATGTAAAAATTCAGTTTTACGACAAATTCATTTATATGCAAAGATTTAAAATAACAGTTGATGTATTTTTATAGGTTTTTTGAAGTTGAAAAGCAATAGAAAAGCAGCAGTGGAGATCAGTGGTAAATGCCTTATGCTTCAACAGTGATATGAAGATAGATTTTTTGTAGGTAAAGTAAAGGTGGTCCTATGGCAAATACTGCCTTTTGGATGTGTTTGGGCTTTACATATTATAGGTTATGATGTAATGAGGTGTTGTTGCTAATTCTTTTCCTCAGCACCTTTTCTTTACATTTCCTTTTATTAGTATACTTATTAATCAGAGATCTGGTAGCAGGGTGGTTCTTAGTCACAAGTTCAATGGGATACACATGATACAATACAGTGAGTATGGTATCAGCTTCATTATCAGTATTGATAGAAGAACTGCTGTTTCTGTGATACTGTTTTCTGCAGATATTTTTGCTGTTTGCTGCAGTTTTATATTTTAAAACCATATAAGTGTTAAATAATACTGCAATACATAAACTCTTTCTGTCCAGTCATTCTCATTTCAACAGGTACCTTTATTGTCAACTTTCAGCTCTTTCTGTCAACAAATGTATTTCTTAAATTCCAGCTGTTTTGATAGTTTATTACTATACTTTTCGCAATGCATACACTGATTACTTTATCATCAATTTGGATAATTGAGAGAGAAAGTGTGCACTGTATGGAGTAAACAATAAAATATACTGTGTTATTTATTTTTTTAAAAAATAGTAAACAGTCTGGGGTCATTGTTAATTTAAAACCATTTTCACATTGTGAAATGCATGTGATTTTATTTTGGTTGTCTCTGTATCAAGATTTATTCTTTATAAGAGTCACCGTGAGATGGTTGTGTGATACACTTACAGCAACATATTCTTAAGCATTTATTTAAGCAGAATGTCATGTTATCAATGTTTGTGACAGATGTTCTGCTAGTTGTGCATATTTTACTTAAGCTCCCATAAACCAGCTTAAAAGCACTAACATATGAAACTACCATTATGCTCCTGTCAGTTTTGTCAGCTCGATCTTCTTCTTATAGTCCATAAGTAAGACGTCACTGTTAATGCCCTCTTTTATGTTCACATCACCTACCGAAGAAAGAAGTCAGCATATAGAGGCATGTTTTATTTTGGTTAACACCCATAATTGTTGTTTAGTAATGTTTCTAAATGACTATGAACTTGAGATTTGCAGGATTTTAATTTCATTATTAGGTCATACTTTTCTTTGCTTTGGTCAGCATTTAATGTAAAAATAAATTATGAGAATGCAAATTTTGGATTATATGTATAGTGAACATGTTATTATATCTTATTATTAAATATTTTTTGATGGTTTAGGGGTAATAATATTTCCTCTCATTTGAAACCTTTAACTAAACTACTAAGCAAAGGATACTTGGAAACATGAGACTAACACTAATTTCTGTGAGAATGTTGCAGTGTAATTGATTTCTCTGTTATTTGACACACATCCCATTATAAATTTACAGCCCCACCAGCTAATCATAATTGTGCAAAATGTAGGTATTTGATATAAAATAAGGTGTTACTTGTGTGAGAAGGCACCCCTGTTTTGATAGCTGTGACTTATTTTATACCAGGATGTTAATATTGGAACACTGTAAGTCAACTGTCTTACTAACACTTGTGCACGCATTTCCCAGTCTTGTCATCTAATTCGACTGTAATTGTTGATTTATGAGATTTTACAGTAACACATTACATTAAACGAGTACAGAAATACTGGTGACTTATGTTTGTGAATGACTTGCTAGTGTTGAGGATGTGTGCTTTAATTCACAAATCTTATAAACTTTACGTCAACCTGATTTTTTTTTTCTATGGCTAGTGTTTAAGACTTTGTCTTTCTTCGTATCTTGGTTTTCTTGATCAATTCTATTGAAGGTAATACCCTATACCCACATTCTACGTATTACTACCCTTTTTTTTTCTTGTTAATGTTTTTTTCTTTCTACTGATCAGATAATCTTTGGGGATACACCCTGTTCTGCAGATTGCAACTCGCTACAATTTCCCATGGTAAAATATTAATTTAAAAATCTTTTTAGGGTTAAAATATATTTAAACAAAACTTTTCCTTCGAAGTCGGAGTGCACCTGCCTAAAAGGCGAGCAACTAACAGTGCAAACAAGCCAGTAAAATTCGGGAATGTACAAAGGAAACATTGGTTTTTTGTATGAGACATATCTTGGCTATGCCGACCGTTGCTGATAGACAATATACTGCAGGCTGAATACTATCTTAGAGCGGCAAGCAATATAAAATATATCCTGCTTAGGGAATTGGACACTGAAGGTTGACTCTAGCCTTTTCCTTGAGTGTTGAGCGTCAGCCAGATCCCCTGGTAACTCTCCTCAGCGCTATTCTCCTCAGACCGCAATGATCTAGTTGTGCCTCTGAACTGTTCACTCACTCCCAAAGGGTCCTCATAACATCTAGCTTGTTATACATCAATTCACCACCAAGCTGTGCAGAACCAGCCAGTCTATCTGCTTGCTCATTTCCCACAACACCGACATAACCCGGACTTCTGAAGCAATGCTTGCCACTTTGCACGGAGCATGTCTTTCTCCACATGCTTTGTGAGTCAGTTACAATCACAGCATGGTGTACATCTGATTCTCAGCAGTGACTGCCTCCAGCTCCATTTTCAAACTAAACGTTGTGATATCATATGCCAGACTTTGTTGCACTAAGCAACGTCCATTCGCTTTTTCTATGAATCTCCATGTACTTTGTCTGCCCCTCAACACAGAGCCATCTGTATATAGATAATCACATCACCTGGGCGGGAATTGTCATGAATCATTGGTTGAACATCTGATTCTGCAGCACCGTCTGCCAGTCCCTGCACTCACAACCTAAAGTGATTAGAACCCTACACAAGTCTGTTTCTTGCTCAAACTTTTGGACCCACACCTCTCCTCACCCAAATTTATCAAGCCAACACGCATGTCTAAGTGTGTCTTCAGCTAGCGCCATCCAAGACCTTTCTCTTTTCAGTCTGTGACCTTTAGCTCAACCCAGGGCTTCATTCCAGCAGGAAGTGCTTCTTGTTTGCAGCTACTCTGAGATATAACTTTGCTTGCAGAATGTTTAGTTTACCTGCTATAGTAGGCAGTGCATGTATATATCCCCTACATACTACCGGAGTATCTCTAGTACACCCCAGAATTACCTGCATGGCTCTCTGTGTGCTTTTAGTTTCCATCAGCTTTTTTGATATGATAAGCATCCCAAGTCTTTGATCTATCATTGACAGGATCACATGCTGGAACATTGTTAACAGCATTCTGTGTTCCTTGTCCATTGCTGACATAATTTTGAGAGCATTGAGCCCTTTTCGGCATTTCACCGCAACTACCTCCACATGATCCCTGAAGGACAGGCTTCTATCGAAAATGACACACAGTTATCTCAGTTTACTTCTTATCTGGATGTTACTGTTATTAATTGTGAGGCCTGGATCATTAGCTCTCACAATTCTATTACCCAGAGAGCACCACAAAACAGCTGCCTTTTCTGAGTTGATGACAGCCCAATTTCCGCACACCACTCATTCACTTTGTCTAAAGTTACCTGCATCTCTTGGGCTATCCGTTGCCTATCACTTTAGGATAAGATAAATCTATTACTTGAATCTATCTCAGACCTACCAGCCACTATCTTTTCCAGAAGTCAAAACTTTCATTAAGAGAAAATCAGAAACAGACTGGAAAAACAACACTGGTTATGACTACGGAAAAGATTTTCTGAGGCACTTGAACAGAACAGACCAAGTCACAGTTTTTCGCTTACGCACTGGACACTGCAGACTCAATAAACACTCATATAAATTAGGTATGAGCCAAACAGCTCTCTGCCAGTGTCTTCGTGCTGAACAGACTCCAGAACATGTCCTGCAAGACTGTCCTCTCCTGGCGGAGCTGCGGAGCGACATATGGCAACACCCAGTAGAACTGACAACTAAGCTTTGGGGAAACCTAAGAGACCTTGAAAAGACATCCCAGTTTATGACCCACAGTGGATTATGCGCATGACCAGAGATCGCTGAAGAAGAAGAAGAATCTATCTCTACTCTAAGCCTGTTAGAGCTCCAACAAAGAATGTCGTGATGAGAGGAAGCCTAAACCCACACCAAAGTAAGTAACTTTAGTAACAAGGAAAGAAAACGTTCGTGCTAAGACCTGTTGTGTCCTAGCCACGACAGTAGATATTCTGATTTAAAGTCTAGCAGTGACAGTAACTAGGCAAACTTTCTAAATGGCAAAAATGTAAATCAATAAGTACAGATACTTTATTTATTCAATTAACGGTAACCTCTTGAACCCTTTGAGGCTCTAACAGGAATGTTTTGGACAGCAAATAATATGGGGCCGGTATTCGGAAGAGTGCCCAATTAACTGTTCCAGGCAAGTGTTATCTGAAAATTTTCATAAACCAGTATATGATTAAAGTAAAGGAACAATAAGAATACTACGTGAACAAAAAACATAAACCCCTCCTAAATGAACAAAATAATCATTGCACCGAGAACCCTGTATGTATGTTAAGACTGATAATGGAGCTTTATTATGTGAAAGGATAGGGACTCGCAAGGGTTCTTGTTGAATAA